ACAGTGTGACCTCACAGTGTGACCTCACAGTGTGACCTCACAGTGTGACCTCACAGTGTGACCTCCCATGGGGTCAGTTCTCTCCAGAATTGAGAACATCTTTATTTTCACATTTTTAAAGTGTCTGTAAATATATAAAAGTGTGTAAGTGTCGCTCGTCGTTGTTTACAGGAAATTCAAATGTGAAAAAGTTTTATTTTAGTTCTGATTTTCAGATTTTACACAGTCGAGTCTGGAGTCGAGTCTGGAGTCGAGTCTGGAGTCGAGTCTGGAGTCGAGTCTGGAGTCGAGTCTGGAGTCGAGTCTGGAGTCATGTCCCACCTCCCAGGATTCAGATCCGGGTGATTGACAGGTGGGTTAACCAATCAGAGAGAAGCAGGCTCCATTCAAACAAAACAAACACGACTCAATTAATTTATGAAAAACAAAAATCACTTTGTTTTAAACGACAGAGTTTTGGAGAAGAACATGTTTTGTGTGAACAACAGTGTGTGTGTGTGTGTGTGTGTGTGTGTGTGTGTGTGTGTGTGTGTGTCTGTGTGTGTGTGTGTGTGTGTGTGTGTGTGTGTGTGTGTGTGTGTGTGTGTGTGTGTGTGTGTGTGTGTGTGTGTGTGTGTGTGTGTGTGTGCGTGTGTGTGTGTGTTGAGCCTGAATTAGCCACTTCCTTCTCTCCCTGATAACAGTTCAGACCCTCCTCCTCTTCCTCCTCTGGGCCCCTGGACCGAAGAACCAAACACAACAACACAAAAGACCCAAACAAAAACCAGGACTAAACCAGGACTAGACCAGGACTAAACCAGGACTAGACCAGGACTAAACCAGGACTGACCAGGAAAACCAGGACTGAACCAGGACTAACCAGGACTAAACCAGGACTAACCAGGACCAGGACTAAACCAGGACTAACCAGGTCTAAACCAGGTCTAAACCAGGACTAAACCAGGTAAACCAGGTCTAAACCAGGTCTAAACCAGGACTAAACCAGGTCTAAACCAGGACTAAACCAGGTCTAAACCAGGACTAAACCAGGTCTAAACCAGGTCTAAACCAGGTCTAAACCAGGGTCTAAACCAGGACTAAACCAGACTAAACCAGGTCTAAACCAGGTCTAAACCAGGTCTAAACCAGGACTAAACCAGGTCTAAACCAGGACTAAACCAGGTCTAAACCAGGACTAAACCAGGACTGAACCAGGTCTTTATTAAAGCAGTGGACTGTGAGAAGCTCTGGGTTGATTTTCACACGTGACTCATCATCAGTGAGTCACGTTCATTCTTTAACTTAAAGCCCCAGTGCGGAACTTTTAGAAACACAATCCACTTCTCAAGAAATATTTCACGGTTATAAAATCATTTTATTCTTCAGAAACACAGAGTAAAGAGTCGAGAAAACTCAGTCCACACACTTTTCCCGACGTGAAATATAAAAAAAAACAAAAAAAAAAAACAAATATAAAACAAATAAAACTTAAAAGGTAAAACTGAAGCGACTGGAAACAAACTGCACAGACTAAACCAGGACTAAACCAGGACTAAACCAGGACTAAACCAGGACTAAACCAGGACTAAACCAGGACTAAACCAGGACTAGACCAGGACTAGAACCAGGACTAAACCAGGACTAGACCAGGACTAAAACCAGGACTAGGACCCAGGACTAAACCAGAACTGGACCAGGACTGAACCAGGACTAAACCAGGACTAAACCAGGACTAAACCATGACTGAACCAGGACTAAACCAGGACTAACCAGGACTGAACCAGAACTGAACCAGGACTAAACCAGGACTAAACCAGGACTGAACCAGGACTAAACCAGGACTGAACCAGGACTGAACCAGGACTACCAGACTAAACCAGGACTGAAACCAGGACTGAACCAGGACTAAACCAGGACTGAACCAGGACTAAACCAGGACTAAACCAGGACTAGACCAGGACTAGACCAGGACTAGACCAGGACTAAACCAGGACTAAACCAGGACTGAACCAGAACTGAACCAGGACTGAACCAGAACTGAACCAGGACTAAACCAGGACTGAACCAGAACTGAACCAGGACTGAACCAGGACTGAACCAGAACTGAACCAGGACTGAACCAGGACTAAAGGACCAGGACTGAACCAGGACTGAACCAGGACTAAACCAGGACTGAACCAGACTGACTGAACCAGGACTAAACCAGGACTGAACCAGGACTGGACCAGGACTGAACCAGGACTAAACCAACTCAGAATCTGATTGGTTGAAGCGACAGTTTCATGAACATTTCTTTTATGTTCTTTGACTCTGACTCCGCCCGGCAACAGACGATGCTGAAATGTGATTGGTCAAAAGCTTTAGTATAAAAACACATGTTTGGAAGCAGCACAAACGTCGGAAAAACGACGAAAGGAAACAGACGGAATATTTGGAATAATTTAATATTTATTTATTCTTTTTTGGGCCTGCCACTCCACAAACCTGACTCTCACCTGGAAAAAGTCACAGAAATGTTGAT